TGGGCTGAGCTGGCCACACACACACACCACACTCTCTCTCTCTCTCTCTCTCTCTCTCTCTCTCTCTCTCTCTCTCTCTAATAAATAAAAAAAAATTAAAAAAAAAAAAAAAGAAAAGGACATCTTGTTGAATGTTATCTACCATACAGATTTTGTATGCATATTTTGAAACTTATGATGTTGCATATAAGTTTGTGTGTATGTCTTTTGTTCAATGTGTAATTTCCATTTTCAGTTTCAATTGGCTATGTCTTTGGTTATAAAATCACTGGCTGAGTTAACTCTCAGCTGTAATTTCTCCACAAGTCTGTTTGAAATTGTGTTCTTGAACCAAACTTGGTTTCTGAATATTTTTTTTTTTTTTTTTTGGAGACAGGGTTTCATATGTAGTTCACCTTAACCTTAAACTTGCTGTGTAGTCCAGGCTTGCCTGGAACACATGTTGACCCTCCTTGCCTCAGTTGGGGATATAGGCTGGGAGTAGAGGAGTGTGCCACTATACTCAGGACTAAGTTAATTTTCATTCTAGTTTATCAGTATCATATTTGGTGGAGCCTGGCATTTCATACTTACTGGATTCCAGTGGTACTTCTGCTAAATTCCTTTGTTCCTTTTCAGACATTGCATAGTTGGTTTAGTGTGTCTGTTATTAAAAAAAAATTACAAAGTTGCTTTTTAAATTTTTCTGAAGGAAATATAGCCAGTTGAGTTTGTGTGCTCGACCAACTTTGTTATTTCTGTTGATGTTGGTTTCCTTCAGAGTGCAGCATCTGGCTGGTGCCTATGTCTGACTCCTATTTTAGAGCTTTTACTGCTCCTCCATGTACTGCAGCTTTAGCCTCCTTGAGAGAAGTTGCCCTCAGTGGGCCCTTGAGGAACCTTTTTCTCAAGCCACTTAATCCTCTTCCCTTACTTAAAAATAAAAGGCTTAATACTGTAGTTCTCATTCTCAACTTCCACACCCATTCTTTTTCTAGTGTTTATTTTTTATTAGTGCATGTTTGCATTCCATGATGATTGCAGTGGGCTGGGGAGATGGCTCAGTGGACTAAGCGCTTCTCTGGCAAGCATAAGGGCCTGAGTTCAATCCCCGGTTCCGAAAAAAAAAACAAACAAATTTACCATGATGATTGCAGTCCTTGTAGGGAGCTGGTGCATGTACATAGTGCATTTGCACACTCTTTCCATTGGCCCTTGACTCCCCCTCCATCTCTTGAAACCCTTCCCATTTGCACCAAACCTATCTACCTACTTCCTATTTTTATTTTGTAGATCTTGTGCTATGTAAGCTGGTTTATTTCACTTAATATTATAATCTTAAGGTGCATCCATTTTCCTGCGAATGACTCAAGTTTATCTTCAAACTATTTAGCTCAGGCTGGCCTTGAACTCATTATTTGTAACTTAGGCTGGCTTTGAATTCACAGTAACCCTCTTGCCTTAGTCAAGTGCTGGTATTACAGGTATGTGCCACCACATCTGGCCTCACATGTCTGTTGTTGTGCCAGTACCATGCTGGTTTGTTTTGTACCAGAAACCAAACTTATGATGCCTCAAGACTGTCTTTTCCTGATTTTTGTGGCTGTATGTAATTGTTCAGTGCTTTTGAAAATCTGTTCCTCAGGCTTAGAATATGAAAGTTGTCTTGAACTCTTAACTTGATTTTTGTATCCATATAGGTATCTGCCTTCTACGGTCTTGCTTATTATCTAGAAACCTTGTATTTTTTAGTAGTATCCTGACTTATTCTCTTACCCCTATTCTCTACTCATTCTTAACTGTACCTCATTCTGCCAGCAGAAGAATTTTCATAGTGTTGTTAATTCTGTCGTTTGCTGATGTGACCCTAAATTATTTCCCCATATACCGACTCTTAACACCACAAGCTTTGCAACAAAACACCCTAGAACTCATTGCTGCACAGCAGTAAGTACAGCATTCTTCATTTACCAAGCGCTGGTCCTGTAATTTGGTCAGTAAGTGACTTGTTTACTAAGTGAGTTGTGTGCAGCGTTATCACTGCTCTGCTGAGCTTCAGGTTGCACCTGTGGTACAGGGTTGCTGCACGCCTCTCCCCTCTGAAGACCAGCAGTGCAGGGAGGCCATCTGGGCAGGTTGTCATCTCTGTGGCTCATGCCAGTGTCTTCCTAGAATGGGCTCTGTGTCTAGATTCCTTCCCCCTCACCTGTCCAGTTTATTTTGAGTATCTTCATGCTTAAACGTTGAAAGACAAATCTAACAAACAACTATGTATCCTCTGTTCTGAATTTAGCAATTGTTAACCTGTTGTTTACATTCATTTGCTTTATATCTGCTTATATATACACTTTTTGCAAATCACTTCAAAGTACAATGCAGTTGTCCCTCTAGTATTTTAGCATTTGGCTGTCAAGAAAACAGGCATTTTCCTACATAGCTGCAATATCATTATTTCTGTTAAGGAAATAGTCCTATAATAGCTAGGCATATTTATGTTTCCTCAGTTACAGCCCTCCAGTAAAAACTGGGGAGCAGTCAGCTATGGTTCACTTTTGTTACTGTTTTGCAGTCTCTCTCTAGATCTCTGATTTTTGTCTTGCAATGTCTTACAGTTTTAAGGGGTCTTTGGATCTCCTGTGAGTCTTGTGTAGAAGTGCAGTTTGGGGTAACTTATTAGATATTCTGAAGTCTGTTATTTTTAATTCCATTGTTAATAGAGAACATTGTTTAATTCCATTGTTCATAGAGAACATAGTTTGGATATCTTGCTGTTTTTTGGCTGGGTTTTAGTTGTTTTGTTTTGTGCTCCCCACCCCCCAAGTGACACTGTGCACACTTCTGTTTTAAGAGTTAACCAAGTAAGTGAGGAGAGTATGTACACCAACTTGGGGGTGTCACTGTCTGGATTGCTTTCTGTGATTTTTTTCATTTTCACGGTCTGGTCAGCCTGGCAAGCTCTGTCTCTTAAGACTCCTCTGCTGAAACCACTGCTTTCTGCTGGCTTGGGAATACAGTGTACCTCTCATTGCTGCTTCACCTCACCCCCTCCTCCTGTCTTTCCCTTCGTCGTCGTCGTCCTCCTCCTCCTCCTCTTCCTCCTCTTCCTCCTCCTCCTCCTCCTCTTCCTCCTCCTCCTCCCTGTCCTTATCCTCCTTCCCCTCTTCCTCCTTCTCCTTCATTCTCTTTCTCTTACTCTTTGTGTTTCTCTGTCTTTGTCTCTGTCTGCTTTTGCCTACTTTGGGTTGGTTTTATAATAGTTGCTTTATACATTGCTTTAAAGTTTGTTAATGTTACTGGGTGTGATGGCACACCCCTGTGATCCTAGTCCTGTGGATGCTGATTCCGGAGGATTGAAGTGAATTCGAGGCCATAAACACAGTAATTATACATACATATCAGTTTTATAATGTTATAAAACCATTTGTATCTTTTCTACTAGATAGTGGGTTTTGAATGCAGGTATCTCATCTTATAAATCTTTGTGTCTCAGGTTGTACTTAATTAAGATTTTGCATATAGTAGGCACTCAGTAATTATTTTCTGCTTAAATATTTTTCTATCTTATATACAGTCTCTGGTTAAGCTTGCTAATATTTTTCTCCTTAGGTAAATGAGAAAACAGGACAGATTATACAATATGATAAATTTTATATACATGAGGTTCAAGAATTGATGGACATACGGAATGATTATATCAACTGGGTCCAGCAGCAGGCCTATGGGATGGTATGTTTCCTGTTCCTTTTATAGTTTTAGCTTTCATATGTCATTTTTTCTAAAATGGAAGAAACAACTGTTTTTAAAACACCAAGGTTTTTTTTTCAGAACTTTTATTCAGAACTTAGCTTTTAAACAAAAACATACTGTAAAGGAGTAGTTATATGTATAAGCAAATGTTTTACTCTTCTACCAAAGCCAAACCAGAGGCATTACACATTTCTAAAGAAAAATGTAAAGGTGATACTGATTTTCAACTGCTAGTTTTTTTTCATGAAGTTAACCTTTGTTTCTCTAATGCTGAAGATTGTATACTCTCTGTTAAGAGACCTGTAAAGAATGTGCTATTGTTGTGGGATCAGCACTTTAAAACTAAAAGAAAACCTGGGGCTACTGATTCTATTTTTGATTATCCTTTTTCTGTGTTGTTTGTTTTCATTTCTGATGGCTTATCTATATATCACATGTGTATTTACTACTTGGATATGGCTCATTAATAAATAGATGCTTAATATCTCATTAAAATAGTAGCATAATCTTAGAAAACTTGAGTTAGGCACATAGATTTTAATGTAGAAAGGGGGAAATGGCTAGATAAAAAATCATTAGGTTTAATGCTCTTTTTTGCTAACTAAGTATACTTGAGGCCAACTTTTCTGCCCCCGAAGTAGGTAATTTAATGTGCGTCTGTGTTTGTGGGAATGATGAATAACCTTTGTTGTAAGCGCCACTAGCTGTGAACACCCAGTGCACAGGCACTCAGCTTATTCCCCAGCAGCTCTGATGTTGTCTTGAAGATGTCCAGTACAGACTAAAATCAAAGAATTTTGAACAGTAGTTTTGTTAGTGTTTATTGTATTCTCTAGAAATCAGCTCACTTGTAAAATATTTCTTCCTTCTCCTAGGACAAACTTGGGTCTGGACTAAGTGACACTTAGTGAGTTTTCTCCCAAATAACTGGGAAGCTAGATGACAGCTTCTTTCCACAGACATAGATCTGTTCATTTGCTTGTTTAGGGAACACTTTCACAGACTTGGGCATTGAGAATGTAGTACGGAACCAGTTGGGTTAGGTAGGGCCCTGTTCTCATGGAACTTAAATGTATTGGGCACACACGTGAACCAAAGTAAAAGTCACCCAACAATATATACTGTATTAAAGATGATAATCAGGAAATATTGTGAAGACTGGCTTTTGAAGTTGGCTAATCAGAAAATACTTGTCCGAGCCAGGCATGGTGGCAGCTGCCTGGGACCCCTCCATGAGTCTGAGGTAGGAGGTACCCCACGTCCTAGCCAGCCTGGGCAGCAGCAGGATGTGTGCTCTGAGCTAGAGGACACACCTAGGTTGTGCCTGGCTCTGCATTCAGTCCTCAGCAAAGCAAAAGAACAAGGGGAAGAACACTACTGAGAAGAGAACCATGGGCCTGAGCAGGACATGTGGCTGTCAGGAGGTTGTTGGCATCCTCGGCAGTGACATGTTATAGGGTTTGAGGGCTGCTAGGGTGAAGTGTAGAGATGACTCAGCAGGTCAGCAACCACAGGGACACTTCTGAAGCTGTGTCTTAAAGGGGCCCAAAAGGGGACCACACCCAGAGTCAGCCAGGATTGACCTCAGGGAAGTTTGGAGCATTTGTACTCACAGGACACTATAGATCATTGCTGATGTGCCATGGGGATTTTGTTTATCATTGGGAATAAATGCAGGGTCGATGCATTACCTAGGATCTTTTTTTTTTTTTTTTTTTTGGTGGAACTGGGGATTGAACTCAGATCCTTGCATTTGCCAGTCAAGCGCTTATCCTACTGAGCCATCTCCCCAGCCCGACCTAGGATCTTTTGAGGGTTGTTTTTTTTTTTTTTTTTTTTTTGGTATGGGAATCAAACTCAGGACCCTATACTTGGGAGGCAGGCACTTACGTCACTGAGCTATCTCCCCAGCCCATTAGTAATGGATTTTTTAAAGAAAAATGATTTAAGACCACTGTTCCTAGATACATTTTTATGATTATCTTTATATAAATACATATGCATAGAAAACTAGTTCTGAATTCCTGATGCTTAGCTTTTTTTTTTTTTGGGCAGGACTGGGGATTGAACTCAGGCCCTTGCACTTGCCAGGAAAGTGCTTATTCTACTGAGCCATCTTGCTGGCCCCCTGATGCTTAGCTCTTAAAAGAACTCTAAACTCACAACAAATTTATAATTACATTGCCGTAAATTTGACAATTGAATTAGTTCATTATGCACTATAATTATCTTGACAGGAATTCCAATTTATAACCTAAATATGGTGAAGAATCACTTTGATTCCTCCTAATCATTTATTCTACTCTGTGTACTTGGGGATAGTAATTAATCTGAGATTTCATTTTTGATAATCAGGGTAATGATCCATACATTGTATAGTTACTGAGATTAATTGGTAGATCTATATGAAGTTCTTATCAGATTCCTTGCATATCACTGTTAGTGGGGATTACTATTACTGGCCTTGCTAGCATAGGATGTAAACTGGGCAGTAGCCTCTGTTTTGATGTCTGGTAGTGCTCTTTCCTGTTACATTTTTCTGTCTGAACTGCAGTGAGACATTTGCTTTTAGAATGATATATGACATCCATGATTGATCTTTCCTTTTCGAGCTCCTCAGTTAAGGAGTTAGCAACTCAGTTACAGAGTTACAGAGGTGCTGTTCAGTGGCAGTTTGGTGTTGAAACTATTGCAGGCCTCAGAGTGGTGTGGCAGTACTGAGATTATAAATAGATTGTCCTAACTTTAAGAGTCATATCAATTTTTGTTACTATTGATATGAGAACACTAAATTTAAAATGATTACAAAGCTCTCATAGATCCCCTAAGAATGTAACCTCCGGGGATTTGCAAGCCTCCTTGAGAAACATTGCCTTGGAAATAGCTGTCTAGATGTCTGTGAATTACAATGGTGGTCCTTTGAATAGAATTTGTATTGATTATATGAGTCATAAATAGTGTATAGGGGCCGGGGAGATGGCTCAGTGGAATAAGCACTTCCTGGCAAGCGCAAGGACCTGAGTTCAATCCCTGGTTCCGCCAAAAAGAGAAATTCTATCTATGGGATTTTTTAGTTAGCAAAATTTTGTGCCGTGTGTAAAAGTTATGGCTTGATAATATTCCATTAAGTATGGTAATTGTGCCATCTAAACCCATTTTAGTATGTAGCCATGCTAATATCAAATTGACTTTCATTAAGCAGCTATTTTCAATATTGTCATTTTTTAATTAGCATGACATAATTGAGGGCTTTCAGTTTCTGATTATTCTTACTCTTTGCCTTTGATTCCCTCAGATCTATTATATGGTTGCCTCAGGGTCTGTTCTCTGCTGTTTAAACCACATGCTGTTTTCCTCTGTGTTAGTCAGATGTGGTAATAAAAGGTTGTTTTGGCAGTGGAGCCTTCTTGCTGCATCTTACAAATTGTGTGTTTAATGTTACTTTTAGAAATCAAAATCCATACAAGATACGGTGGCACACACCTGTAATTCCTGTACTCAGGAGGCTAAGGCAGGAGTATTGCTGGGATTTCAAGGCCAATCTGAACTATGTAGCAAGACTCTGTCTCAAAGAAAGAGAGGGAGGGAAGGAGGAAGGAAGAAAGGAGAGAGAAAAGAAATTAGAATCTGATCCATCTGTAGGAAATGAAAGTTTGCTACCTACTCTAAAAGTTTTTGTGCAACTCAGTAATTTTATAACATTTGACCTTACAGAACTTCTTTTTTGAGAGAGTTCACCACTTTCACATTTACAAAGAATTCTGATAGACTCTTTCCCCTGAGGAGGTTCTTGTTTGCATTAGCATTTCTAATTCTGGATGAAACTTAATTCTGGGCTGAGCCTGTGAATGAAGTTTTAAAGTCTACCATAAGAAAATTTCATGGTGACACAGATGTGTTAGTAAATATAGTTCGGTACACATGTATGTATTGGTGTGTATACATACATGTGTACCATTGCTGCTCAAGTTAAATTTTATTGTTTTGATATGAAAGCTTAGAATATTCTTTGACAGAATATAATTACTTTGAATTATAAGAAATTCATGTTTGAAGTTTCATACTTTTTTTTTTTTTTTTTTTGCGGAACCGGGGATTGAACTAAGACCCTTGCGCTTGCCAGGCAAGCACTTATTCTACTGAGCCATCTCCCCGGCCCCATGAAGTTTCATACATTTTATATACATATACATAAAGCTTCACCTTGTGCTAATTACAATAAGAAAATATTTGTCTTTATGGCATAATCTTTGGCACTTTTTTCTCCATGACTTTTCAGTCAAGAATTTTAAGATTCCACCGGAAATACTTATTATCCTCAAACCTTAATGACTAATTCTGTGAATTAGTCTTGGCTTTCCTTTTACAGGTTGATGGTCCCTAATTAGGGCATTCAAACTTTATCTTATTTTATTATTTATTTATTTATTTTGGTGGTACCAGGGATGAAACTCAGGAGCTTAACGTGCCAGGCAAGCACTTATTCCACTCAGCTGTCTCCCCACCTCCCTCAAATTTTAAAATGCTTCAAAATTTTAAACCAACGTGGCACTCAAAAAGTTTTGAAGTCTTTATACTCTTCTCATTTTGACAGTTTCCTGCTCTTCCTTAACTTTCTTTTGAAATTGTTTATACACAAATAACTGTTGCTCCCAGACTCTATTTTTCTTTCCTTTTTATATTTTTAGTTACTATGTATGCATATCACCAATATATATCCAGTAAAAATTTGCAAATTTGGAATAAAGTCTAGAAAAGTCAATGTTGGGTCTGTCATATTTGAATATTAAATTCAAATTTTGTGTGTTTTTGTAAAACTTGATTTGTTTTATTTTATTTATTTATTTATTTTTTTTGTACCAGAGGTTGAACTCAGGACCTTGCACTTGCCAGGCAAGCACTTATTCCATTGAGCTATTTCCCAGGCCCAAAACTTGATTTTTTTTTTTTTTTTT